TCCCTGCCGCGCTGCCTGCGTCTCAGCTCTGTTCTTCAGAAACCTCTTTTCTGTGTTTGGTATTTCTGAAATTTGCCTATTTCATCAACTGTGCCCCAGCATCTCCAGCAAAACAAACAAACAAAAAAAACAAACCCTCCAAAAAAGAAACCCCACGGAAATACACTGTTTACACCCTTCAGAAGCCCAGCGACCTCCAGGTCAGTGGAAATCAGTGCTGTCTTCCTGTCCGTTAAATCGGACCTTCAGGGAATTTGTTCTCAGCAGTGAGCCAAGTTCAACTCCCTTGAGACCAAATAACTAAATAAAGTCAGAATTTTTTAAAAAATAAACAGTCAAATTTAGAGACTTTCAAAATTTGTTAGTTTTCATGGTTATAACCAGCTTTAATATTTTTGTGTCTCTTTCTAGACTGTCTTCTATGTGTATATTTACATTTGAAAGAATGTGAATTATATCACTTTCTTTAGTATTTCACTATTTTCATTAAATAAGTTATGATAAATATTTATGTAAATTAAGCAGACCGTAAGGTTTCAGCTGTTCCTACCTCTCTGAAGGTGGGTTGGAAGTAATAGCTTAGCAAGTCCTGAAATTCAGATGGACTTATTCAGGGGGCAGCCTTCACTTGGGCAGCCTGGAGAGGCCAAGTCAGGTGGAATCTTGTTTTGAGTTTAATGTTACAAGTTGCTGTGAGCACTTACTGACCAACAAGCATCCAAATTGCTTGGAATAGTGAATGGTCCTGTCACTCAGCCTGCGATGTTATTGAACTTTGGAGCCTAACTCAGTTCCCAAATATTCACTAACACATGAGGTTTTCAAATTTGCAGAAGTACCCAAGGGTGCCATTTCCTTTTTACACTCTCTAAAGCCATCCCCAGATCCTTGGAATGCCCCTTTCAGAATGTTTAAAGAATTCTATAATCCTCTTATTTTGGGAACCTGATTTGCAAACGCTAAGAAGGGCGTTATATGCTTCTAGGAGGCTTATTAGAACTAACAATTGCAAATATCCCGCCAGACCCAGCCATCTGACTTAGGATAAAACTCTGAGGGGCGGTCATCAAATGTGCTCCTTCGACAGACATTTTCTGTGTGCCTTCTCTGTGCCTTGCAGAACACAGGGCAGCTCAAGCCACCGGAAAACATTCTCCTTTAAGATGAAGTCTGACTCCTACAGCTCCCCCAACCATGGGAGGCAGTGGAAAAATCACAAATGTGTTTAACTCTCAATATGCAATCCTTGCTCAGTATGAAGGAATTCCAACATGAGAAATAAAGTGAATTCTCCTCTGAGCCTCTGACAGTCCACAGATGTAGATCTGGAAGGATGCCCAGAAACTTCGATGGGTACGGTTTGGACACATCAGGTTAGTTTCTTTTAACATCGTGGAGTCCAGTCTCTTTGGTTGCTTTCAATCTACGCATCAACTCAATCCATGGATTTTTCAAATAATTGATTTGGCATGTTCATTATGATGGCCCAGCATGTGACTGATTCACTCAATGTTTTATTTTTCACTGGATGTTTGGCACATATCCCTGGATACTATAATTATTCTACCTTTTTTGTTTCTCCTCATTATACATGAAGTGCTGGAGTGAGGCCATCCTTTCTGACTGAACACTGATATTCTCGTTCAGCCCTTTCATGGAATGTGTTGGTTTGCACACAAGACACGGGTGTGGGAATAGGTGAATTAGCCATGATTTTTGAAACAGCTGTCATCTGCATTTTTATAGCTGTCACAGGTCCCATTGACCTCAGTTTCTGTACCTTGAAAATGGAAATGACAAATCTTGTGCCATTTCAAGAGAAAGCATGTTGAGGACTAACCGAAAAGGCCTCAAAATCTCAAAACAAAGCACTCTATGACACCACATAACCCAGGTGCTGACCCTCTCTGGGGTACCCATGGAAGGGCTCCTCACAGTTTCTAAATAGGACAGGAAAACAAAGCCTCCAACCAGATCTGTGATTGACTGGTGATCAGTTGTGAGCCCAGATGTCATTTGTGAGCCCAGCTGTCGGCGAAGCAAAAGGGCAGATGAACAAAATGTACAAAGCGCATCTCATCTTCTGATCAGAGACACATTCCCTGTGGAATGGCTGCGTTCTGAGAGCATCCTGACCTCTGACAGCGGTGGCAGTTGCAGTGACTTTCTAGACCAGCGCCATCCAGTGTACGACACCTCAGAGGCACTGTTTACATGCTGGGTGCTCAGGAGCCACGCATGCTAGCGGCTGCCGCATGGAACAGGACAGGTAGAGAACACTTCCACCAGCACAGAAGGTTCCCATGGACAGGGCGCGTGGACACCGATGGATCTTCCCTCTTACAGCCACTCCAGCTGGCCGCCAGTCCGTCTCTGCACGAACATCACGTGGGGCCATCTCTCCCAAATGAAGAACAGTTACAAGTAACGGTGCATAGTAACAAATGTATTTTCACACTTTGCTTCACTTAAACCCAGCATAAGAGGCTAAGATGAACCAAACTGTATGCTACAAAGAGATTTTCCAACCAGTAATCAATATCTAATTTTAAAAAGAATCATACCATGGGACAGGACATGAAAATACTCTGTTTTCCTTTGTGTGTAAATTCCACTTGATTCATGGTCTGCATGCCCACATTTGATCACTCCTATCCCCTCATGCTGATTCCCATGTGAATTAAAGTTTGATTTTATTATAGGCCCAATTGTTCCTATCTGTGGTTATCACATCTATTTGAAAGAGAATGCAACATTGGCAGAGATTTGTTTTGCTTGTCATATATGCAAAAAAGCTAAACATCAAATAGAGACCCAAGCTAAATGGCTTCAAGTGCATTGTTTATCATGCCTTATTTTATTGCTAATTTCACATAGATCTCACATCTAACAGGAACAGACCTCACACACCCATAAAGAGCCTACAAACCAAGCTATTGAAAGAGTAATATTTAAGCATAGCATTCATAAAATAGGTAATAGAATTATAGAGCTGACAGGTAGCATAAAACTGTCAAGAGATATGGATGTCAAACTATCTCTTTTCAAAAATGAGAACACTGAAGTCGAGAGAGGAGCAGTGCCACAAAGTTACTTTATGAGTGACGGAGTCAGGATTAGAACCCAACTCCCAGGCCTGGACGCAGGGCTGTTTTGGACACCTTTTTCTTTGTCCTCTCCTCTGACAAGGAGGATGAAGGTGAGCTGGGAGGGGAGAAAGTTGGCATCTCTCAGACGGCAGGAAGGTCAGCCCTCCTGGCTCCCGGCCAGCACCTCAGCCATCAGTCACTGCCGTGCATGGGACATGCCCTTTCTTCTTAGCCTGCACTAGCACCTCAAGTGTGCCACCTGGCTTTAGAATTGCCACACCCCAGAGTGACCTAAATGCCTAATCGATGGGACTTCTGGACCCAGAGAACAGGTGGTCTGTCCTGGTTAGTTAACGTGTGCCTTTACAATGTCTTCCTTGTGAAAAGCTCCTTCTCTCAAATGATACCAAAGTATTTATCTTGAAAAGTCATGGTTTTAGGGGTCTGGACATCTCCTGAAAAGTAAAATTCAGCTCAGTCTGCAGCATTCATTAGTAATTATCAAAGATGTCCACAATTGAAAAAGGTTAAGTCTGTCAATCAGGGGAGAAGAGAAAGACGTGCTTTGTAAGAAATAAAAAAACAAAAAACCAACAAAGAACCCAGAAAAACCGGTATAATGATCATAAGGTATAATAAACACCAATTTAATAGAAATGGAGAATGCAAATAAGAGATTACAATGCTCAAGGAGCCCAGAAAGAAATAAAGATGAAGCTCTATTTCTCTCTTTTTCTTCACTCTTTTAAATTCGAAGAGTTACAAATGGACTTCTTCAAGTCAGTGCAAAGGAGCCCCTCCCACCCTGTCCCCAGCACGGCAGAGCGGGGCAGAGCAGGGCAGCGGGGGACAGGCTCACACAGGCTTCCTGACGTGGACCGCAGGGCACTGCATGCGACAGGCCCCGTGACTAGTGGCGCTGCCTTGCCGCCCACACACAGCTATAGGGGTGGTAGCTGTTAAAAGGGGCAAGTAGGCGTCCCGTCAATGTTGCTCTCATAAAAGGATTCCCGCAAACTCTCTCTCATATCTCTGGACTAGACTACGCCATAGGAATGAGAAAAGGCCCCAAATACCATGAATTAACATGGAAATGCAGCACCCCTCATTAGGTGACACTGGAAGAGAACAAGGACCAAGACAGGAAGGGGCAACTTCTGCTTCTGCAGAGATGCTGCTGGGACTCTTTGGGAAAAAATGCGGCTGTAGAGGAGGTGCTGAGGGGCTTCGGCCAGAAGCAGCAGCTGGACCCAAGAGGGCCTGGGCTGCTGCAAACCCTTCCACTGTCCCTCCCAGAAGCTAATGACGGCAGCCGTCACCTCGGTCCATGCTAAGGGAAGAACCAAATGGAAAAATAATTTCACCTTCCATTTCATTATTTGGGGGAAGACATCTATTAATATGTTCTATTCAGTTAAAACAATAGAATTGAGAAGTGCCATATACCAAATAGCAGGGGAATGTTCACAGGAATCCGGAATACCAGCTATAATTTTGGACTTAAAATGACATTGAAAAACATGTGGGAATACAAATCATGAATTTAAAAAATGTTTGAACTAGATACATGGGCACATGGGCCACTAGTACGTTTGCCTGAAGTGTTTGACTATTGGCGCAGCACAGTTCACCTGGCTTTCGGGCTCGTTCCTCCGTGTTTCAGGACGCTGCCCATCAGCATCAGCCTCCAGGGAGTAGTGGCGTAGCCCCGCTGGGTAGCACATATTCCTGATAAGAACATTTCGGTGGAATTTTTAAAAAAGAAACTCTCACTGGTGTTGACTCAAACACACTTTGAAAATATATGGTATAAAATTCTTCAATATCAAAAGACAGGATATAATGACTTATATATTTATTTTGACTTTACATGCGGTGTTAAAAACCCAAAGTACATATTATTTACACATCCACAATACAAGTTTACAAGATCTCTATACATGTTAAAGTACTCTATAAAACAGTATAGAGCCACTTTGCTTCAGGGTTACTTTTTATGCTGTAACATTAAAAAAGATACAATCTGTGTTTACCTTTGCACAAATGGATAAAGCATTTAAAAATTAAATTAACAGGATAGAGACTAGATTTAATGTTAGAAACTTCAACATAAATACTGATAGAACTCACATTACAAACTACAAGGCAGCACAATGTTACAAAATGTTATCCGGGTATCACACAGAGTTACTGTTCCGTTTTGCGCACGCCGGGATTCATATCGGTAAGGTGAACTCAAACGCGTTTGTCGGCGGTGGGCTGCGCGGTGTTTATCGTTGGTTGGTTTAATTTATTATTAATCTGTAATATTTTAGTTGCAAAGCTGAAGTATTTCAAGAACAGAAGTTTTAGCTTTTGAGCTTCCAGAGATCTCAGGGAATCACATTCTTTATAAAACAATATTCTCAAAGGAAAAGAGTAACTGTATCAGTATTCTACATTTTGTATAAAAATGCTCTGGTCTTCTGTCACCTATCCTCCCCCAAGTAATGGATATCACCAGCATTATCACAAGAAATCGGTTGAGCTTATTCGTCTGACTAGGTCAGGAGCATTCCTCTGCCTGGGTCCTTTCTAGATCAGGGTCAATGAACCATGGTGTGACGCTCCCTCAGCAGATTCACTGAAACAGGCATTAGGGCTGCCCATCAACAACTGTGAGAGGCTTCTGCAAAGCTACGAATAAATGACTCTATGGTTTCTGCAGGTGTCACATTACCCTGGAAACCTCATTTGACTTCACATTATCGCCATCTCATCCTTAGGAAAGCAGGAATGGAATGTCTATCATGGCAAAGGACGTAATGCTGCTATTTGGGTGGACTGTTTTACAATTACTTGTTCTAGGTTGTTTTTATGATTTTTTAAAAAGTCCTTTCAGGTGCTGGTTGAAAAACATTTACAACTGGCACTCAGTAAATGATGTGCTATACTGAAAACACTTGACATATTTTAGTACTTCTATCATTCTCATGAATAAGGCACAAAATGCACAGATTCAGGTAAACTCACATGTAATATTTACAGTATTTTGTCATTACCTGCATGACTTAGGAGGAAGTTCTCACATAACACAACATAGACAACATGATTGCACCACTGGTAGGTTTTCAGAGACTGTGTCTTTTAAGCCAATTACAATTCTCTTCACATTTCCTTCTTTTGTCTTTTTAAAAGATTTTTAAAATCTTGGCAGTGGGAGGAGTTAAAGGAAGAGACATTTTACTATGTGGGGGAAAAAGCAAACACAATAAAAATAAAACCTTATTAGTGTGCCCAAGGTTAAATAGAGTGACTCAGGCTTGGATTCACAGTGGACAGGTAAATTTTACTACTGTAAAATACTTTTGGATAAATCAAGGATACCTCTTAACATCTCTGTCTCCTTAAGCTGGCAAGACTGTAACAGAAGTTTTAATGAATAGCAGCACACAAGTACTTGGGACTCATACTCTGGCATTGGGTACAACGTAAGTCAATCATAGTGATGGTCAAATCAGCCTTGGTTTTATGTCTTTCTCAAAGCCGAACCCAATGGACTGCTGTGGGAAGTAGTTATTGTCTCTTATTCAGTCATGCTCAATGTAAACAACTCCATAGCACAAAAAGATGCAATGGGCACCTAAAAAATCCTAGTGAGTACAGAACACACACACGCACGCACGCACACACACGTACCACAGTTCATTGGTGGCATGAAAAAAATGCCCCACATGAAAAAAATGCTACAGTTTGGGTCAGAGACTGAATTTTTAGCAAATTGTTTGGTAATCTACAAGTTTGTTTCTTTGAGACATTACCATTGTTTTTGACATTTGTGCAAGAGGCAAGGTGAATGCATACATAATAAAATGTTCACATTTAATGGGAAGACCACACATAATGGCAGTCTTAAGTTGAACCCATTTTCAAGTATTTGCTCACAGATTCTTCTGCATACTGTATCAGCTCTTTACACTGGGAAGGTAGCCCCTCAGAGCAATACCTCTCTTTAGCTTCAAACAAAAGAAATGGAATGGCCAGCACCTTCCTTTGTTTTCCACGTAAGTACACAGAAGCTTTGTTGCAGTAGCTACACGTGGCAAGTTCTGATGTTGCCAAAGTTTGAAAGAGTTTCTTTGGCCACTTGGTTCTCTTAAAAGACAAGCAAGTCTCTTATCTTAAGGTACCCTTACAACATCATCCTCTCAACAACATGGACAGGATAAAGCCACATGGAGAATAGCACACTTGAGGCCTAGTAAGTGTATTTGTTCAGTGGTCTGACCGACGTTGTTTGAGGAGCAAATGAAGGCTTTGGTGGCACGTCAGGTTTTAAGGACGGTGTCCTCTTTAGCCCCGTCCTCGGAAGGGTGCCATTACTGGTGTAGCTGCTCTGTCTGGAGAGGGAAGGCTGCAGGTGAACACTCACTGGTGTTCCCTGAATGTAGTCCACCTTCGCCCCTGTCGGTGTGGGCATGTACCCGCCACGGTTCATGCTAGGCTGTCTAGACAACAAAACACCATTTGGTGAGTTTAAGTTTTTAGGCATAGCAGATATGGAGTGCCTCTGGGAGGAATTTTTGTGGTAACCTCTTTGTCTTTCCAGAGAAGTCATTGGGACGCTGGGGGTGGTGGGGACATCCACTCGCTTGGTTGGGCTATTTCTGGGGAGAGTTGAAGGAGGAGAGTAGAGCGATGCCTCTCGGTTAGGGACCTTGGGAGGGACCTCAGACATCGGTCCCACTGGATCCAGCATTAGGGTCTGGTGGGCCATTTGGATGTCTCCCATGATGGCTTTGGGGTTACTATTTGGGTCATTTAGATGCTTCAGGAGATCATTGAGGGTATTTCTGGAATCCACAGAACGCCGGTGATCTCTTTTACTAGATGACTTTGTGAGAGGGTGGTCAACGTGTTGAAGCTTCTTTTCAGCTTTGTGAGCATTGGAGTTTGAAAAAGACGTGTTGTAGTCATGGGTAGCATTAGGAAGCACAATGGCACTGGGGATATGCCCATGACTTAATGGGGAGTGGGGTGGAGGACTAGAAGGGAAGAACTGGGGGGTTTCTTTCCTTGAAGCTCCATGGCCATGGGCCTTGTCTGAGTGGCTCTTCATGGCCTGCAGGGTCTTCTGGTGCAACACAGGCGTGGACTCAGGTGTGGGCAGTGCAGCCAGCTCAGGTGGTTGGCCTCGATGGTCCATTACCATGGATTTAGTGTCGCCAGTGGGTGGCAGCTCTTTGCGACTGGTTAGCAGGTTACTATACAATTTGGGAGAATCGATATTCTGCTGATATTCCTTGACTGGGCTGTCAAAGAGACCATTCAGTTTGGCAAAACTTCCACTGGAGTCTGTGCACGACTGGGCAGATTCTGCATCTTTATGGATCTTTCTGTTTTTCCGCATAAACATGTCACGATAGCAGTATACTGCCACACCTGCAATGAATGCACCCAAAACAAAAGCGGCAAAGACACAGGTGATGAGGACATTCATGTGAACCATCTGATTGGACTCTCCGGACTGGACTTCCCATCGTACACCTGCAACAGACACAGGGAAAGCGTCTGAGTGAGGTGCTCTTTGAAACAGCGTTAGCCAGCAAATGGCTCCCATTGAGCCGCCAAACACTCCCTTTACATGGTCTATGTGCTTAGCTTGGAGGGTCAGGTAGACTCTGAAATTCCATGTATATATTTTTTTTCTTTAGTCACAATAGGATCCCCAGAGACATCTGACTGCTGTAAATGGCAGGATAACTCTAATCTCCCATTAATCTAAATTCTCTCTTTCCTCCCCTAATCCCTATTAAATAGTTGCTACATAACATCAGAAATTTTAAGAGTTTCTACCTAAAAATTAGAATTGCAAAGTGTATGTTTTCTAAATGACCTGCTTGAAACTCATGGAGTGTTTTTCTCATGGTTTTCTCCTAACTCATGAATCAGCATTAAAGGGCAGCTGCTAGGATAAGGGAAATGCATGAACTGGCATAAGTATATATGCTAATATAATCATGCTAATACAATTTTGCTACCTTAGCTGGAATAAAAACACATAATCTGTTCACAAACTAAAAGCATCTGCTTGGTCATTGTTAGCTACAAATACAGACTTTTGTGTTTGCCTTGATTTATTTTTTCATTCCACCTTGGGGTGAAGCACTCTTGAATTGCCTGCTGTGAAAGAAATCTAAACAGTCTAAGGAAATATACTTTGCATTAGTTAAGTAAGATGACTCAAGTATCTTAAGATATTTAGAAATATTTAAGTTAGACCAGAAGAAGAGTGAATTAGTTTTAATTACTTGAATTTTTAATGCAACCACAGACATCTAACAGTCAACCAAAGAAATGTTAGTTTAAGAGGTATCCAAGTCTGTTACATGCTATAAACACAGCTATCCCAGATTAAGGTAAGTCAGAGTGATTTTGAAGATTTGGTTGCTTTAAGTTAGTACTAAGGCCTTTGAACGTTAGTTGTTTTTAACCAATGTCCAGGGTTATGTAACTCAGTGGCACTTTGAAAGACAAAGAAGGAAAAGTAGAAATGGTACTACTAAAAAAACAAAACAAAGCAGAAAGAATGATCATAAAATTGTTCACAATGAAAATATATAAAACCAAAATCAACAGATGTGAAACATAAATGACAATGCACTGTCACAGACACTGACTGGAAACCTGATCCCATAGTTCAATAAGCACTAAAGAATAGATCCCCCCCCCACCAGACTAATATATCTAAGAAGCCTACTCCATAAGCAGCTATGTTATAACTGCTTCTATTATGGGCTAAAAAGAATAGTTTTGGATAAACCCTGTTATGTCTTATTGCCTGTGGCATTCAAGCAGCTTAGCACCTCACGTATCCTCTTCATATGCATTTTGAACTGTAGATCAACAAAAGTCTGGGACAGGCTCCTAGGCAAAACATCTGATATCTGAGTGTCTGCAATTAACACGTTTTGTTTTCTGATCTGGCTGAGTGACCCTCGAAATTCCCTGATATCCTGAAGTCTCCAGCTCCTTCAGACAGAAATCAACAGATTAGACTGTCTGAGTGGCTGTTTCACTACCCCTTCGTGAACAGTGTCCCGCCCCTCTTGTCTTTTAAGGAATGCGCTCCAGGACCTGGAGTGACGCAGCCAGTGGAGGTGGTGGGAGCGCCAGCAGCAGCTCCCTCCGGGTTGTCTGTGGAGAGCCCTCAGCCCTAAGGCTTCTCAGAGACAGTAGGAATCAGGTTTCCACTCAGGAAGAGGTGATTTCCCTGGTGAGGCCTTACCCTTTGGGATACCTGATAAATGATCAGTAAAATCAGAAGTGTTTGGGTCATCTTGAACTACAAATTTCCGGGAGCTCGTCAATTTAGGTCTCCAGGTATCAATCACTTTAGGTGTGATTTCTGGGATACTTGCTGTGGTAACAGAAGATGTAGATACCTCCATGTCTGTGGTGGCAAACAGATTTCTATTAACGTGGGTCATGTCAGCGGATTTTCCTGACTGGTCTGTTGCGTTTTTAAGTACAGTTGAAGTAAATTTTCAGAGAAAGCCTGTTCCAAGATTTCGTCAAAACACATCCACAGAGACTACACCAAATCCTTTTCTTACAAGGGAAAAATAAACACTAAAAATTAACGATAAAGCTCTATTAAGCAGATTTCAAAATTCACCATACTCAAAATACTCCTATGGCTGCCCCTGTGGTGACCAACGACACTTGCAGAAAAGGTAATTCAAATCCCAAAGATTAATTGCTACTTTTTTCATCCTTTTGTGAGACAACATCACTTCTTTCCTTTTTGTACGTATTTTCCAAGCACTTCCAGAGACGGCTGGAGACTATATTCCTTCACTGGGGGAGCCTAACTGTAGTTTCATCAGAAAGCACCTGGGTAGGTCTGTGTTAACGCTTGATTTGGGACCCAAGAGACCACCTCTGCCTATGTTGTCTTGCTTTGGCGGGGACCCCATCCATCTGGAGATTATTCTCTGCACTGAGGGCTCACTGTCCACGGGAAAGCACTGAAGCAGGGATGAACCTTGCCCGTGCCTTCCAAAATGCCCAGGGAGTTTCTTCCAAAGAGTTAGCAGCTACTCATGCAAAAGAAACGGCATTTACAAGCTGAATTAGGATGTTCTGATACATAAATCTGTCACCCCTTCCCGCCCGCCCCCGCCCTGCCTGAGGAATGAAACTGCTGGTGAGTTTTAGAAGCAGCAATACGATCGGGAGTAACTTAACCTCTAAGCGTATCTATAACTGATATTTTCCTTCAAAATGTATGCGTATGACTTTAGGTTAAAACCCCAGAGACCCCAATTCAGACTGGCATAATGGTCACAGGTGAGGACTCCAAAACAGATACAGACAGAGGGACGTGGGGAGCCCACTAAGCAACTTAATACATCAGAAACCAACTTTATTCAACCAGGAGCCTTTTTCATACCACTGAGACCATAACATTCAAAGTTTCCCAGGATTACTGCAAACCATTCAAAAAAGATCTCTAAAGTTTATAAATACACATTTTGGGGAAATGTGTATTTGTTTACTAAGTTTGAGGAAAGATGAGGAGAGGAAGGGGAAAATAATGAAATTCTGCCATCCATTAAATGGAGATGGCCAGAGGGAACATTCACAATGCACAAGGGTGAGAAGAAAGCTTGGGTGGACGCGTGCAGCTGGAATGTAGTCTATGTTAATCCATTTGATTTTCCTTAGAGGATGTGCCTTGGCCAATGATGGACTGTTAACATGCTCCACAGGGTGAAGTACTGAGTAAGAAAAAGTCTTTTGGTACCATCAGTGGGCGTATGAGTCAAAGCACAAAAATGAAGGGCTGCCAAACTGCGCAAAAGGAGGGGAGAAGGGGCTGAAAATGCTGAACTGAAGGAAAGAAAAGGTTGTTAATTCAAAAAAATTAAAAAAACTAACCAGATGTTGGACCGCCAAATATTTTGTAATCTGGTGTAGTTGAAGTAGGCAAAATTTCTAAAAGAATTAAAGGAACAAGTAATCAGTAAAAAGTAACCAAAAGAAAGCAAAAATGTATGAGTTCCAATTAATTAAAAAAGTCAAAAGAAAAGACTATAAATGAAAAGATTAATCTACTGGTTAGACTACCTTTCTCTACATTTCCTACAAAATTGTAAATGGTGAAGAAAAAAAAAGTTAGATTCTCTAAGGAAAAAAAAAAAAAGTAAGATTCTTCTCTAATGTATCCCCATGACCAAAGAGCTCAGCTTTTGCGAAGTTTAAGTTAAATGCTAGGTGGCATGTGTCCTGAGTCATTAAAAGGCTGGTTGTAAAATAACGTTCACGTGCAAATGTGGTCAAAAAGAAGTGCCAGGAGGACAAGGAAGATTCGGTCTTACCATGGCAGTCCCCTAGATGGGCCGTGTTGCCGTGTTCCGTGTCTTGTTCATATCCTCCAGTGCTGTGGTTATGGAAAGCAAAGAAGTCTTCAGTTAACAGCCTTCATAGGAACACAAGTGATCACCAGAGCAGAACCAAAAACACAAATCGATTAGTAGTAAGAATAGGCAGAGAGAAAAAAAAATGGACATTTCAACACAGCTGAGTATGTCTGTTAAACTTTTGGTAACTGGAATGCTTAAGAAAGCAGAAGAGAATTGTCTTTCTCACAGGTATTATACTGTCTATAATCTCCCTTCCTTCTCACAGCTCCAGATTTTCCCTTTCTTTTTTTACTTCAACAACAACAACAAAGGAAAGAAAGAAAGAAAGAAAGAAAGAAAGAGAAAAAAGGGGGAAAAGTAAAAGTAGTGTTATTGGGAGTTTTCTAAAATTTCTAGCTTTAGAGACATGGGGAAGATAGGAGCAGATGTGGATATCTTGGCCAACGTGACAAAGTGTACTCACAACATCCCTTGGGTGACTCTACCACAGGCCCCCTCGCTTAACAACCAGCCACAGTAGGGGTCCCGAGATGCAATACAAGACCTGCACAAAACCAAAGAGAAGGTAACTTGGGTTTTCTCATCATCAAAGGTCTTAATGCTGCCAAGACCCAGGGTAAGAACAGAAACATCAGCTTACTTTTTACATGATCCATAACGCTCACAGCGACTGAGGGGGATGCGAATAACGCAGCTGGAAAATGCCACATACAAAGTGTGATGATCTTTATCCAACTGCAATGAGATGACCTTTTTGTCCTCCTCATTCTCAGCGTTACATCTGTATTGTGGGAACACATTGTGAAGCCATACATTTAGTAAGTCAAAAGCTACATGAAGTATACCAGGCAAGTGGGGTTTGCTTTTTGCAATTACTGAGAGCTAGGGAGGTCGTAAGGAATGTTCTCAGTAGCAAACCAGGCAAGTACATAGTTTGAGAAGTAATAATTATGTGATTCATCTTCTACTGCTCTGCATGGTTAGTTAAATTTCAGGCTGGACAAAAGGTTTTTTGAGATTGCTTTCCCATTCTGATGACTGAAGAAAATTATATTTGTGAAGATCATTTTGGACTATACAGGGAAAACAAAGGATAACATTTTAATGCGTTTATTTTATTTTTTTATCCTCACCCGAGGATTTTTGTTTTTCATTGCTTTTGGAGACAGAGGAAGAAAAGGAGAGAGAGCCCTGAATGGTGTGGCTCAGTGGGTTGGGTGTCATCCCACAAACCAAGGGATCACTGGTTTGATTCCTAGTCATGGTACATGCCTGGGTTGTGGGTTATGTTCCCAGTTGGGGTCATGGAGAGGCAACTGATCAATGTTTCTCTTCCTCTCTTTCTCCCTTCCTTCTCCTCTTCTAAAAATAAATAAATACAGTGTTTTTAAAAAGAGAAAGAGAAAGAGGAGTATCGATGTGAGTGAGAAACATCAATTGGTTACCTGCTCGTACATGCCCTGACCAGGGATCAAACCCAAAACCTACGTAGGTGCCTGCACCGGGAATGGAACCCATGACCTTTCAGCCTATAGGATGACATTCCAACCACCAGAGACACACCAGCCAGGGCTGTTTCAATGCAGTTAATCTTTCTGTGCTGGGTGTTTCTGGGATCTCTCTTTAGTCTCTTTTGCTCTATTTCTCTCATCTCTTTTTTGTTTTAATGATCTCAATATCTTTTATATCTGTGGTTGGAAAAATTGTATTCTGTGTATGTGTGTGTGTGCCTGCAACTGTTGGCTGTGTGAAGCACCCTGAAATTTATCTGCAAGGTAGGAAGGGTGGTGCTAAAATGCTCTCAACTTTCACAGGTGAAATAAAAGGGCTGAATTATTTTTAAACTCATCAATGCCCACCTCCAAGCCCCAGTACACTCAGGGAGAAAACAAACCCAGGATTTATTTCAGTGAGAATAAAAAAAAAAAAAACCCAAAACACTAATATGCCAAACCACTGCTAATTTAGAGGGCTGAAAGGAAATGACTAGATGAAATAAACTCCGGAAATTTTTGAGCAGAGCTGAAGAGTATTCTCGTAAAATATACCTACTTTGCATGGTTGTATGCTTCAATCTCTTCCAGTAATACGCTGTCATTCAAAGAGAAAGAACTGGTCTTTGCCAAAATTTTAAGTACCACACCAGCTTCTGAGCCAACGAAGATGACAGTGTAGTTCTGGTAGGGTCCAGCAGAATGGTCGACAGCGATGGCCGTCAGCCTGTACCTGCCGGACAAGGAGGTGAGCCAAGTCAGGGGGTGAGGCCAACAGGAAGGGAAGGTACTGGTTGGAAGCGGGTCACCCCTTCCGAGTGGTGTTACCTGATCCGAGTCTTTGTGAACCAGGGCTCCTCTGCAATGGGTGGGACTGCAGAGTCCATCAGGGGGTGGGATTTGATGAATGACAGGGTTTCATCCGGAAAATCAATGGAGGTCTTATAAGCTTCAGCGAGGCCATGCTTTGCACAACAGCCGGGCCTAAAAGGAAAACAGTGTTTTTTGCCCCCGCATCATAAATCGTATCTAAGGAATAAGTAAGTGTCCATTCTGAAAGAAGAGGTCAAGAGCAAAAAAGAGTAAGCGAACACTAAAGAGCAGTGCTATTTCCCCAATTCCGGTGGCTTTTCCACATCCATGCTCACAGGGTTATGCTGACTGACTGATTGACTCTCTGTCTGTCATGCTGCACGCAGACCCTTCCCAGTGTGGCAAGGTGGCCTGTCTGCTCCCTGAGGATGGGTGCTCCCAGTGGCCAGACGGTTTTGCTAGAGACAAAAACCCTTTTTGTCTTTCTTTACCTTGGCTTTGGTACTTTGTCTTCGGGGACTGCTGTCCAAACAGAATCTGGAGTTTTCTGTTCTTTAAATCGTCCTTTGAATACTTTCTCAATGTCATCCATGCTAAACGCACAGACTGCAGAACCGGGAATGCTGAAAAGGGGGACAACCGTCAGAAACCCATCAGGCAACAACAGGCCTGTTCGTGGGTCCCACAGGCCAGCACAGAATGCCTTTTGAGGTGCCCAGGGTCGGTTCTCACCTGTTGAGCTGGGTGGTGAACACCCCGACCACTGTGGGGATGCCATTGATTTGTATTATGTCTGTAATCGACTGCAGAACATCAAAGTAGAAAAACGAATCTCCAGGGACAGAGCAGTTAAGCCGAGCCTTCAAGAATGACGTCCAGTGCTTCTCCAGGACCCGCTGGGAGCCACCCATGTCGTTTTTACATATGCGGGCCACACGGGAATAGACAGCCTGCCCACGGGACAAAGGAGAGCAAGGGGTTATGGGCATGGAGGGGGAATGAAAAACTAAAGCTGCTATTTACGGGAGCGACAAAACATGCTACAGATATATCTGGTTAAAAAGAATCTAGCAGTCTTGTCTCTAGGGATCTGTAGCCTAAGAATGTAAATGAGAATTACCTGTGAGGAAAAAAAAGGCCGTTTTCCTGTTCTACCAAATGAGCTCCCCAACAAGTGAGCCATGGAACTGCCTGGCTGAGTGGAAACCATTCCCACACTTTATGTCGCACTTTGCTTCTCCTATTGCTAATGAAATGCGCCACCCTTAAACTTGACATAGAAGGGGTGGCAATAATTTAAACTCAGATGGGCTTTTACCGAAGCACTTGAAATTGAACAAAGGCCTCTACTTTCCATCCTGCCTTTGACACACAGAAACAATAAACTATCAATGGATTGCTAAAGAGTTAAAGAAGCATCCCAAGCTCAAGGGTGCCTGGAGAGCACTCTCTGTCGAGACAGGAAAAATGAAACCTTCCCAAGGTCCAAGGCTGTTGTTCCAGGTCAGGCCATTGTTCAGGTGTTTCTCAGCAATTATTCTCATGATAAGCTACTCGCCTCTCTGCACTTGGCCCTGAATGCAGTGAGTGCTGGAAAACATGCAGAGACCCTATCTCTACCGCAGCGGGCTCAATTCCATGCAGTAAAAGTCCACCATGCAAGTCGAGCACATATACTTGCCTTGCCTAAATTATTATGTTCCACAGCAATTTCTCGAAAGAAGAAATAGACATAGTTTCCATATTCTATGGCGTGAAGAAAGTGTGGCTCTGAAAGAAAAATTACAAACAAACTGGTTCTTAAAGGATAATTCAATTAGTGTACAACCCTGACTGCTAGGCATGACTGACAGATGTCACATAGCTACATTCAAGCCAATGAGAACTTGGATGCATCAGTGAGTCTGAGGAGTCCTGACATGGGCGGGTTGAAACTCCAGGGAATGCAGGGTCTTTAATGTCAGCTAATGGGCTGTAAAAAGCCTATAGGGAACTGAACTACAGCAAAGGTCTTTGTTTCAACAGATTTATTCATTAGTCTATTTAACTAGGGAAGAAAACCTCTTATGTTGAGAATTTTTTTAAAATCTTGATTTCTAGACTCCAAAAAATAAAATGATTCTGCAGATATGACCTAATCGATGCTCACTGTTGACTTTCCAGGATAGGTAGATGAGAGGGGGCAAGGAGTATTGTCACACTGAAATGGGATCTCTTTTTTTTTTTTTTTTGAGGTCACCTAAGATAAAATCCTGGATGACTCTACTTTCTTGCCTTGGCAACAGGTCTCTTCATTCCATCAATGCCCCTGTTCACAATCAAGCAGCTTATATTTGGTCTAAATACACATTATAAGGCCATGTACAGAACCTCCCGATGCCCACAGGTCCTGTTCCCACCTGTCCGTCTCGCTACCCCGGGCAACCCCACAACTCTGCTCTTCAAAGATACCTTTTATCCATTTGGAGTCATATTTTATTGTACGAAGGGCAGACCCATCACCCATGCTTCGATAAATAACAGCATCACTGGCCAAGAAGTCAGCCACCGTGGCAGAATACAGTTTCCCATCTGAAATCAAAGTTATAATTTGAATAAAATAATCATAATTATCCTGCAGTGTGTTGACCTATGTAGTGTGTTATACTCTCTGAGTGCTTTCACCTGTTATCCCCATCTATAGAAATAAAGCTGAACCCGATGCTCATCATCAACCTGTAACAGGTTGGCCCATAATTTACCTAATTTTATAGATGAAGAATCTAAGTATCAAAAAAGTTAAGCAACTTATTCAGGGTCACTAGTCTAGCTAAAAACAGAACCAAGAATACTATATTATAATATGCTTACTTTAATTCTTTGTTGGGAAAATTTCCATAGCCTTTAGACTTTGAAACACTTGTATCGAGGTAGCTATCCTATTTTTGAGCTTTTTTCTTCCTTTAAATTCCTTTTGCACCTTCAATGTCATTAATCATTTATATTCATTACACTAAAGGATCTTACCAGCAAAAAGGGCAACATTGGTTTGTCTGGCATCAAATGGGCATCTTGCCAGGCCACTAATTTCTTCCCCATCATATTCTAAGGTATTCAACTACAAAAGAAAAATAAATAGCTAGTGTCACATCTGTTCAATGTACCTGTTTGAAAGCAGTACTGTTTTATTTGTACTGAAATTCTATTTGAAGAATTCTGTCTTTATTCTTCCATAGCATTAGAGATAAAACAAATTACTAGGTTATAATAGAAAGGGTTGAACTTAGCATACTAGTAAAAGAAGAAAAATTAGTGAAAAAAAAGCACATCATATAAAATATACTTACTCTATAGTATCTGCACATGGGATTAAATGCATTGGTACCACATACAAAAACCATCTCATCGTTTCTTGGAACAAATACTTTAATAAAGTTGTGGCATTCATCCTAAAAAGGTAGTAATGACATTAATATTAGATATTCCATAAGCTGACATTGTGGGGTCAAGACCACAGAAAGAATAACTATAGCAGTCACTTGTCTGTTTTACTTACTTTATGTTTGCCTTTCATAGCGCAGTTTTCTCGGTCCTGTTGTCTTGACCGCCATGTCAGCTTCTGTATTAATCAAGCAAAACCAAAGTTCAGTTTTTGACTGTGAAAATTTTGGGAGGGGTGGGGGACATTATCCAAGTTCTGAGGGAATGCAAGTAAATTTGCCAACTACACTAGCTTACCTTGGTCGGTATTACTTCTGTTTTGGGGATTTCATTTAAGTTTACTGTATAAACTTGATCCCTGTTGGAAACAAGGCAGTAAGTCATATCATGTGAATGCATAAAAATGTTAAGCTGCTTCTTATTTTATTTTTACAGATCTGCTTTTATTGTGTTTTTGAGATCATTTGGATTTTCTCTGTCTCCAGCAAAGTCAACAAAGGGTACTTTTTCATTAGTCAGAAGCTTTTATATATCACTATGGTTAGGGAGCAAAGAAAGCTCATCTCTCCAGGCGTGGGTCAAACTGCTGCTCGTATTAGCATGGAGAAACTTCTAATATTTGCTTGAATAATTCCAAGTTAAAAAAGAATAAAAAAAGATTATTTTCCCCTGCTGCTTTAGGAATAAAGAATGATATATGCTTTCTTGATGGCAGCAATAAAACCACACCGCTGAAGGGTTTTGCTCTGCATTTTGTTCCTGGTACACAACACTGACTCTTCTCTGTGAATATTTTTGGCTACTTGCGATTTTTGATCACAATCACATATTAGCTTTTCACGAACTAGACACATTAATGCAAGCGCCACAAGAGAAAGGAATTTTAATCTAATAAGCCAATGAGAGGAAAATTACCTGCCAGCAATATAAAGTGTGTCTCGAATTTTCAGCATCAGCTGAAAGTCCAGCCGGTGCTGCGATTCATTGCCTGAAGGGCGTCCTCTAAAAACCGGATATTGCCTTGAATCTGCAAGTAAAAATGGGCTAAACCATCAGTCAGGATTATGGAGCTAAAGAATCAATATACAGCATTGATTAACTGTATATACTAGTTGTAGAAGGGTTTTAACCAAATTCCTCTCTTCAGGTCTTGAATATAAATGAATAAGGGACAGTAAATGCCAGCAAATGGTCTTTTTCTTTTAACTGAAAATATATAACCTATATATGGGCTGCTTTAGAAAAGCACCCAACAAAACTGTCCCATGTTCTCCAAACACAACTGTGAATAAATTAATATGCAAAATATTTTTAAGGCATTCCTATAAAACTCTCTAAAAACAAATACGCTTAGAAAAATCAAAACCAGGAAAGCTTCCTTCTTAGAAAAGGAGAATGTTCTTGGGATCACTTACAGTGATAGTCAACAGTATTGAGGGGTTCGTCATCTTCAGGAAAGCTGACCGCCCTCAACTGGGAGATCATCAGGAGCAGCATGTAGGCACAAAGCAGGAAGAACCTCATGGTGGGCCAAGGTCAGGTCAGAGCTGCCCCTCCTCAGGAATCCCACTTTGCTACCTAGAAAACAGTAACAATTTGGAAAGACCTCTGTGCTGTGATGTACCTCTTTTCTTACTTGTAATCAGCTCAGTTCTCGCCACCAGCTCCCTCCGAAGCCCTCCTCCCTCCAGGAGCGCTGGCCGTGGTGAAGGAGGTATCTCTGAAAACACAGGCAAAAGACGGCAGTGGGCCAGTCCTGACGAAAGCACCTGCTGGGCATATGGACGTTCTAGGCGAATTTGCAAGAGTTTTTGAGGTAACTATGTACGTCATCACAGCAAAATCCCCAGAACCACAAACAGAAATGCTGGCTGCTGACTTGGCAAGAAGATGGGCAATGCTGGGATTAGAATTTTAATTAAACTCCAATCTGCTTCCCTGCCCCCAGCCCTGAAATATATCCAGTAGAGCTCGCCTCTGCCCCTCATGAAATGCCCAGGCTGCCTCACAAATATCTGGGGAGCTGAGGGTCCTGTGGCCCCTCATCTGATCTTTGCTTAAGGCATTGCCAAATCCCCAGCATTATTCAAGCCAGAGCTCTAAATTCTTAAGTAGAACAGTTCCCTAAGCTTAGTAACACCAACATGGAAGCAATGACATGAATGACCTTGAATCAGGGCTAAAGAGAATTAAAAGAAATGAAATGATTTCACGATCAATCAATCAAGCAAAGCAGGCCAGGGATGAAGCGGCACAGCTGCCGCCAGACCACTGGGGATGTCTACACTTTGCATAAAACCATTTGGAAGCAAACCAATACCCTAAGTACGCCTGTCCTCTTAGCTTTATTGAACTTTAGAGCCATAGGGGGCCTTAGGGACCATCTAGTCCAACCTCCTCATTTTTCAGATGAGAACGTTTTCTGGAAGGGCTGGAAAAATGGAGGGACTCACTGAATTCCATGAAGCTATTTAGGAAAAGAGCAGAGTCCAGACTCACATCACCTGAGTCCCATCCAGGCCCTTTTCATCCAATTAGATGATGGATTTTTGTCCTCAAAAGTATCGCATTACAAAACATCTTTTTGGGGTAGTGAATACATTCATTATTTTTATTGAAGTGGTATTTCACAGGTGTATGCATATATTAAATTTTATCAAATTGTACATTTACATATGTGTAGTATATTCTGTCAATATCTCTATAAAGCTTACAGCATTGATTGTATAATATTAAGTGTCAAAAATTTTTTTTAAATCTTCAAATGCTATTCATTTATTACAAAAATAAATTAGGGCCCTACTGGGCCAGGTGGGTGGGTATTTTTGTGAAACTGTAAATGTTCCCAATAACACCACCCCTTCCTCAACCAAAATAATCACTTACAATTACCATATTGAACAGTAAAAACCTTAAGGTTTATCTTCAGTTTCATGTGTCTAATAACTTTAGGGGAGAAGATAAGAATTGCTTCAAATTCTGGGGGATTCCAACCACTCAACCAGGTACTTACTATGCCTCTTTTATCTTCTGAATGTTAAACACACAGGCGCATAGCGCTCTATGCAATGCTTCACTATTTCTCTTTCTCACTAAAGTAAAAGCCAGGTCTACGTGAGTTTTAGAATCCTAGTTTAAAAAAAAAAAAAAGAGCATGAGAGAGAGAACAATATTGTGATACAATTTTTCTTCACGGATAAGTAATCCATTGGTAAGTTAGTGGGATCTGGGGCAGCGTCTTTTGTACTCGGGTGAAAGAGTGGGGACCTTGCAGTCAGTCTGACTGGGACAGAACTCCATCACTTACTAGCTCATTGACCCAGCAAAGGTTCTTTAATTTCTCTCAGCATTAGTTTTGCTTTTTTAAAATGTATAATATGTGGATAGTACCACCTTCTCTACAGGATGAAAAAGAACTAAATGCCTGGCACATACAGATGGTGAGCAAAGTTAGTCTTCCTCACCCATTTCCTGCTGGACATCATTCATATGACTAAGTTGACCTTACAAGTCTGAGAAGGGCCTGGGAGAAAGAGATCATAAAATATTAAAGGTATTTAGACAAATTTCTTTTTCAAAAATGAAGAGTTATTTTACAATGTAAAAGAATTATTTTTAGAATAAATTTTACAACTTGAGCCCTTATCACTCCTGGAAAAACAAGTAAAAACAAAACCCAACAACCCTACCATTCTAATTCAACAACTGTGATGACTGGGTTCTAGTCTTCTCACCACATGCACCTATTTTCAATCATGACAAGAGGACCTCTTTCAACCCACCACTTCTCCTGAAGCAGTGTCTTCCTGTCTTGCCTTCCCAGGGTCTTGCCATTTATAATAGCCCTACGTAGTCGAAGCAGTATGAAAATACAAAATGTTGCCCTGAAAACCAATTCTGTTGTGACATTAATCCAAAACTTCGTTCTCTGAAAATAAAGTCACTGATGTTTTTTCAGAGTATCAGGGAAAAAAATTAAGACACACCAATCAATCCTGAAGAAACTTAGAAATAACTGTGTGAAAACAAGAAAACAGTTCTGTGTGTGACTCTTTTTTCACCAGGACAGGTAAGTGAATGGTTCATATCACGGGGGCAGAGCTGCAAAAGCAGGGCCGGGAGGGCTCTCACCAGGAAGAGTGTCTGTCACAGCTACCTGTGATTACCGCACTGAGGTTGAGGACGGACTCACTGCTGACTCACTGGCTAGCACCAGGCTGCTGGATGAGTTATCATTTCCTGTAACTCATCCATCTGACATGGCAAAAGGCAATTTCTCCTCAGACCCCTCCCCCTGCCAATCTCATCCTCCAAAAATAAAGCCTCACCACTAATTGTTTCCTGTCCCTGACTACAGCCTTTTTTTTTTTTTTAAAGAATTACTTTTAGATTTGCCATGGAAATTATAAATGGAAGTATTTAATGTAAAATATATATCAAAGAAAGGCTGAGTAGGAGAGGGAAGGATCTAGAAATACCTGAGAGAAGGTACCAGGAAGGAAATTTATTTGCATGTAAACCCTCAGACTACATAGCTATTACCTTATTTAAGGTACTAGCTGAGAATTCTAGGTCTCAGTAAAACCATGAAACTAGTTATGCTGAAAAAGGGCCAGTGAAGAGGCAGGACAAAATGTTGGAAAAGAACATAGACCGTGGGGTTAGAATAATCCATGTTCAAACTTACGTGTGCCATTTACTTCCTGGCTCTGGGACTCTGTTTAAAGTACACTTAACCTCTTTAAGCTTCAGTTTCCTCAAGTGTAAAATAGAAATAATTACATTTTCTACCTCATAGGCTCTCCTAAGGATTAAATGAGATAATCTATATAAAAAAATCTAACATAGAACCTGGTCCACAGTAAGTCTCTAGGAAATTTCTGTGAATATTGTCATGACTATTATTGTTATAGCTACTGCGGCAAACATGCAAACACAAGGCGGGGGGGAGAAGAAATGTTTAGTCTTTCATCTTGCACAACTATTTGCAAAACTGTTTATGTGTGCCATCATAACAACGCTAGGGGGATTACAGCACAGCTTCACAGATGCAGACGCCTCCAAGGCGGGGAAGGGAACGACCTTCGTTATATGTAAGCTTATAGTAAAGAACGTAACTATATAATGTTATTCCTTTCAGCCACAGAACAGATATACCTCAGTATATTTTGCCATTTTTGGTGTTCTAGCAGCTTCTTCCATATATTCCCGACGTTAAAACCAAATTATGAGGGAAGCTCTTAAAAGGAGTTAAGAGCTACCAAGGCAGCCAGGGTTTGAGTGGCAGGATCCTTGAGAGAAGGGTGGTGAAAGGAAATGAGCCCCACACTCAGCATTTGATGTTACATTATGGGATTTGCTAGTTCTTAAACTGTACACATATGAAAGAGTAGTTATAAAGAAAAGCCAAAAGTATGGCAGTCTAAAGTTTAGGACCCACCAGGAAGGGGTTCTAGTAAATGTCCGAAGGCTCTCATTTGGGCCCTTGAAGATCTATACCCCAAGGAGACGAGGCAAACGTGAGATAGGCCAAACCTTACACAAATTCCAACTTGATCTTTGGTAAGCTCAGTCCTAGACTGGATAAATGTTGTCTCCTCCTACTCTAGCTACTTGCAGAAAAGATGAAGTGAATCTTCTCTAGACAACAATAGCATCATCCAGAGACTACATGTTTTTTTACATAAAATTCTCAATATTCAATCAGCAATTACTAGACATTCCAAGAATTAAGACTAAGAAAGAAAATAAAGACAATAGAAATAGACCCACAATTACATCTATGTTATTTGACATAGATTTTTTAAAAATGTGTTTATTTTGTTAAGGAAAAAAGATGATAAAATGGAAAAATTTACCAGAGAAATGGAATCTATTTAAAAAGAATTAAATGAAAATTATACAACTGAAACCCACAATACCTAAAGCTTCCTAACAGATATTTTTTAGCAACATATTTCTTGCAGCTGAAGAAAGGATTTGTCAACTGAAAGATGGATTATCAGATAGAAACATGGAGAGCAAATAAGGTTGGAAAAAACAGATAAGAGAGTAAGAGACACACAGGATCTTCTGAAAAGATCCAACATACTGAAATCCCTGAGTGGGGGTGGGGGAAGATGGAAAGAAGCACTATTTGACAAGATAAAGTCTGCATTCTATTTCAAAACTGACAAAAGACCATAAGTCACACATTCAAGAAACTCTAAGAACTTCTAAATACAAAGAAAAACACACTTAAACACACCATAGTCAAGATGCTAAACACAATGACAAAAAGAGTTAAAAGCAGAAAGATATATTACTTTCAAAGAAGAATAATACTGACATCTGACTTATCAATAGAAACAATGGAATCCAGTAAACCATAGAATGACATTTTTACAGGGCTAAAAGAAAATAAATGTACAGCTTAGAATCTATTACCAGTGAATATATTCTTCAAAAATGAAGGCAAAATAAAGATGTCTTAGACAAACAAAAACTGAGAGATTTGTTGTTAGCGGACCCAAACTTAAAAGAAACACTAAAAGGGATTCTTCAAGCAGGGGAATTTATAGGGTTGCAAGTTCTTTTTT